CCTAAGATTCTCAATAATTTCTGAACATGGGGTACTGATGCTTGTTTACTCGAAACTGCAGTCCGGAGTTACACTCACCTCCCAGACGGCCAGTGTACATATATATATATATATATGTATGTACGTTTTTTATGTATGTATATCCAGTATACGCCTACACAGCCATATATCACATCCCTGCTCAAGAGAAGCTGGAATTGAGGTACAGACATTCTCCGGGGCTTGACCGTTACCACGTGGGGAGTCAGTGCTTGTCGTTATGCCCAGTTTGGGATTGCCCTGTAGGATTCTATATATGAACCACAAAAAGGAACTACTATGAAGCCTCCAGGTATGGCCTACATGATTAATGCACTCATCTGCTCTATCGTTACAATCAGAGGGCTGGCAGTGAGAAGCCGGGCTAGGTCCGGCCCGGGATTGATTGAGAATCCTGCATGCTCGCAACTACTCTCCTGAACTACCAGACCTGGAACACTGGGGCGGTGATCCGCTGTGCCTGTGGTCATGCTAGCTTTGAATCGGAAGCCACCTGATTTTTACAGGAATCATAGAGTGATGGCAACGGATACTCACGCTTCCGCGATTCGCCACCCTCGGCCCCTGCCTGTCGAGCTTCTGCCGGATGGAGGGGCGCCTTGCAGCAACTTCGCACCCCCTATCCGAAGCTCCGGCCCTTCACACTTGTTGCTGTCCTTGCTACTACTTTCATTACTCTTATCCCGTACTGACATCGTTACTGATATGATGATCATTACGAGTGTCATGACATGGTACATATGTGCTTGCGCACCCCAAAGAAGCCCTTGGAAGGCTTTGGCCTGGGCTCCATCCAGCGGAAGAAGGAGCAGAACCATGGCCCCCAGCTATGGTCGTGTGAAAAGCAACCCCGACCTTAGGGTTTAGGGTTGGGGCCTAGGCTTTGGGGGCAATCTGTGGTCATGTTGCTGCCGGGTGACTTGTACACTGTCTGCTGCAGGCTTTCGCCCAGGTGCGAGACTTTGCAAACGGGGGTGTCTGACTGTTGGATGTGTTTTCAGACAGACACAGGTAGATGTGTTGTCACACAAGCTTTGGTTGCGCTGTTCTTGCATATGAGTTACCAGGACTGGCTGCAGAATGGCAACGCAATCTGACCCGGGCTGTCAGACTGCAGATGATAGGGAGCCCGGCTCTTCTACAGATTCCTGCAGTGAAGGAGCATTCAACACACCAGATTGCAAATGTCGCCTGCACCCAAACAAACGAATAAATCATCAAGCAACCGCAACAAAACAACACAAACCAAAACGGAGCAAAGCCAAGCAAACCAAACCAAGCCAACCGACCAAAGACGGAGAGAGAGAGAGAGAGAGGCAGACACTCGACATTACGGTGGATCGTGAAGGGGCAACAGCGAATCTAAGTGCAGCGTCCACGGCTATTTTTGCTCTGACTAGAGCTGCATTTCGAAACCTGCCAAGATGCGCCATCTGATGCGAATTCCGCACACAGCTCGCGCTGATCCTACAAACACTATCGTGTGCACTTTGGCACACCTTGCGACTGCCAGGGGGCTCAGAACGAGCACCACTCCGGCTAACTTTCCTCTTCTCGGGCTGAGAGCTGATTAAACACATATATATATATATATATATATATATTCATTTATTTATTCATTTATCTATGTATTCATCTGTCTATTTGTTTCTATACTTGTATTTATTTATTTTAGTTTTATAGATCATACTATATATAATGCGTGCCTTCAGCCCTAGAGCTCCAGGAATCGCTGTTCGTGGTCTTTCGGCTCCCTCAGTCCATGGTTCCCAAGTTCAGCGGCTCAGCTGCCCGCGCGGTGGTGGCCGGCTCCCTCAAAGCAGGGGAGGTTTCTGATTCTGATTCTAGCCGGTGGAGAGCGTGATGACCTGGGTCCTTCTGCAAACTGTTGCTGCTGCTGTTGCATCGATGTTGTTGATGCTTTTGCTGCTGTTGTTGTTGTTGTTGCTGTTGCTGCTACAAATATTTTTGCATCCGCTGCAGCAGCTTCTGATATTGAAAAGTCGAGCAGCGAACCCTAAACCGGCATTCACCAGGCCTCCGAAACTTTGGTTAGAAAATGTGGAAGGGCGGAGGTGCCTGTGATGCTTTGTGGTGCAGTCTCTGTCTATGAGAGTCTATCTCTTCCAACACCCATGTGATCTGATAGACGCCTCCTGGGCTAGGCGTGCAACGCCACCAGTTACCGTAAGCACACGCACAACACACACACACACACACACACACACACACACATACACACACACACACACAAACAAGACGTTGCCGAAGGCTGCCAAGGACCTGCAGTTAATACTGCTGGTGGCGACAGCTATAAAATCCGACATCCTACACTACGCACCCAAGGCTAAAGAAAGCAACGCTCCCATAGGTGCTGAGCCCAACATCCGCCGGAAGGCCATCCGAAGCCGGCGCCCCTACATCTTAAAAAACTGTAAGAACTGTCGAGAGCCCAAACCCCGAACAGGCCCAAAAGGCCCTCGAAACCCTACACTCCAAATCTCAAAAGCCTGACCACTAAGATTCCAAACCTCAATCCCCGAATCCCCTGCAAGCCTTAATCCTAAACCCCTAAACCTAAACCCTACAACCCTTAACCCCGAAACTCTAAACCCCTAAACCCTAAACCCCTAATCCAAAAAACTCCAAAGACTTCGGGTTTCCGGGCGGACGCTTCACCGGCACAGGCGACTCTCTCTCGCAGCGCGTGCAGAGGCAGTGGAAGCCCATGCCTGAGCTAAAAGGGGACCCTAGTATAGTATCCAAAAGAATAGGATCCTGATTATAAGGACACCAAAATAATAAGGTACCCCTAATTTTCTGGGCCGAGGAAAAAAGCGAGCGCCGGGCTGCTTGAAGGTTTGTACTTGGGGGGGGGACTTAGTAAGGGCTCCTTTAAAGGGGATTCTAAGGGTTCCTTTAAAGGGCTCTATCGGGGTACTATAGGGTTTAGGGTTTAGCGTTCAGGGACTTAGTAAGTAGGTAGTAAGTAGACTTATAAGTACCCTAAAAGGGACCCTAATTGGGGTTATGGTACTTATAAGTCCCGAAAATAACCAGTTACTAAGTCCCCCGTCCCTCCAAGTAGGGTCATAATAATTAGAATAGGGTGCCTTTAAAGGGATCCCTGAAGGATTCTATAGGGGATCTCTAAGGGTACTATGATAATTGTAATACATACGAGCCCTTCGCAATTAGAATAGGGTTTTGGGGTATGTCATACTATAGTTATAATGAGGAGCCCCCAAAATAGTATAGGTAATTATTAGAATCGGGAATTGGGGTAACTTATAGTTTAATCAAATGATTGCTGAACTCTGAGGAGTACTTGCAATTATTCCGACCCTGTATTTTTTGATTGAGGGTGTTGGGTTGGGGATGTATCTAGTTTCCTTTCGTCGGGTAGTGTTGGCAAGCTTAAACTTCGAATTTCGTAGGGCTTCCTGGTACCACGCGCCATCGATTAGGTGGCTTAAATCCGCCTTTGACGGCTTCTCGTGGTGGCTGCATTGGATGTGGAGATGGTTGCGTGCACGTGCACAGGCATCATGCGTCAAACAGTTCAAGCGGACGGTATTCCAAGATTGGCATGCTCTATTATTACTATTAATATTAATGGTGATATTGTTATTCTTATTAATATTGTTACTATTATTGCTAGTATTGCTATTATTACCATGAAAAGCAAAGAAAACGATCGATGTTTGGTTGCATGGCTGTACGTGTGACTGCATATATGGACCTAGAGAGAAAAGTGGAGGAAGGGAACGAGAGGGAGGGAGAGCAGAGACAAATCTCTCCTGATTTGTTGTCGTCACTGTAGTCCTTCTTACAGGTGTATATGTTCAGAATAAGCGTATTAACAGCTAGACCTCAGAGACTGCAATATCCCTTCACTAAGGAATATGCCTTAAATCATACTGGGGATCCAATCCTACTATAATTTAAAGATATTTAAGGTACATTCATTAATTAAGGGATATTGGAGTCTCTGGGACCCCCTCCAGTCCGCTTTGCTGGAATCACGTCCGAGAACCAGACACGTCTAAGTAGCTAGACCGGGGTTTGGGAATTCTTTGCGTGGTCCTGATTGAGAACATGGCGGGATTGTTGCACGAACGATGTCCGGCCGATAGATGCAGAAACCCTAAACCCTAACCACGTGCCTGATAGAACAAGTGAGTGACAGCCTTTTTCTCGGCCTTTCACTCTGAGATGTGATGCTGAACATCTGGTAGTTTCCGAAAATAAGGGACCCTAACATAGTACGCTAAAGAGTCGGGTTCTTATTATAAGGACCCCATAATAAGATACCCCTAAATTTTCCCGAACATGGTACCCTAAACAGTCGGGTCCTTATTATAAGGACCCCATAATAAGATACCCCTAAATTTTGGAAACTCCCATCTTGGCAAGGTGCGAGCAGCCAAAATCTGACGCCGTTGATCCACGGGTCCTCGGTGTAATAGCCATGTAATATAGAGGCCTTAATGATTAGAATGGGGTTCCCTTTCAAGGGATCCTTTTAAAGGGGTCTATAAGGAATACTCTAAGGGTTACTATAAGGGTTTAGAATAGGGGCCTTAATAATTAGAATAAGGTTTTGGGGCACATTATACTTTAATCATAGTAAGCAATTCCCAAAATAGTCTAGGTAAGTATTAAGGCCGCTAAAAGTATGTCCAAGGCCGGACATGGGTCGGCCCAGTGCTGGGTTCCCAGAGCTCCAATATCCCTTCATCAAGGAATATACCTTAAACTATAGTAGGATCCCTAAGATGGTTTAAGGTATATTCCTTAGTATATTCCTTAGTTAAGGGATATTGGAGTCTCTGGGTTCGAAAGTCAAGAGCATTTCATGAAAGCGCCAGCAATGGAACTGAAGCTGGCCAGGTAGCAAGAGACCAGTCCCCAACATTTACCAACTTCTCCGGTTTGCTGAACAACCCAAGCCTCCAAACTCAAACACCTGAATCTACCTGTAGCATAGCCTCATCCCCAAACCCTGCACCTCGGAATCTGAACTTAACCAAAGACGGGAGGCTCTTCAGCATTTCTGCTTCCAGATAGCTGACCGTCACGGCCTCACCCGAACGCACAGGTCGTGTCGCACGCCACTCCTGGTCTCAACAAGCGATCTTTTGGAAGCAAGGTCCAGGGCAAAGTCTGTCGGATATTGTTATATAACTGCTATATCACGAAGGATTTGCAGATTTGGACGTTCAAAAATTGACGCTTTGTGGGCAAGCACATGTGAGAGTATTGATCGCTTTCCGCTGGTCTCCTGCTTGCCGGATGGTTACTGAGAGGACTATTTCACAGCTCCGCCTGTGCTCGTACATATATCGATTTGCAAACCGTGAGACTTATGTATAATACACACCACTATCATAGCAACATTTAATTTAAATGCCAGCTCATAGCTGCAGCACCAATACTGGCCAACCGTGCAACAGCAGCATTGATTATCGCCCAGGTGCCCCTATCCAGATTCGCTTCGCCGAGGTTTTGAGACCCAGCCGCGCAGCTAGCGAGGCATCCCCCGAGCTGAGACAGAAGCAGGCGTTCGGTTCGCAAGAATGCCTGGGACATGCTGAGCTTCCCTTTAGCGGGTAGTTCCTGAGGCATGCCGAATTCTACAAGCGTGCTGAACCTATCTCCAGCTTTGGCACTCGAAGAGGGCCCCGATGCAGAAGACGGCCTCAGAGCAGAGCAACGGACTGTACAGTGTCTGCAGCCACGGTTGAAGCATCGGCACCGCTACAGAGTAGAGGCTCGTGATCAAGCATACGAAAAATGTGCATTGCTAGGAGTGAAAGTAGCCACGATTGTAGTATCCTTAAGGGAGGGGGGTCCAAGGGGGGTATATAGCCTAGTGATCCCTAATTCTCCCTAGTACTCCCTAAGGTTCCCTTACAGTCCCCTAAGGATTCCTTATACCCTCCCCCCTTGAACCACCCTCCCTTAAGGATCTTATAACACGACGGCCACAATTACAAGGCATCGACTTCTGCATTTAGAGGGCGGGCCTTCTACTCCTGCTGCTGCCTCTAGTACTGCTAATGCTACTACTGCTGCTGCTGCTACTACTGCTACTACTGCTACTACTGCAACAACAACAACTACTACTACTACTACTACTACTACTACTACTACTACTACTACTACTACTACTACTACTTCTACTACTACGACGACGACTGCGACTACGACTCTGCTACTACGAGCGCTTCTCCTGGTTCCTCATGCTGCGCCATGAAATAATCGGAAGCTGGTTCTCCCATTAATCGTTTTTCTTGTTGCCTGTGATCTTTGTACAACGACAGCCGGCTCTTTAACCTTGCTGCAATGTGATTGCTGGAATCGTCTACCTCGTGATTACCGACCATCCCTGTGCTTGCGCTTTTCTTCCCTAGTCTATACTGAACTTAGAACCCTAACAAAAATTATAACTTTGGCTGTTTCTTAGGGAATATTATAACCAAAAATTAAAATGTATTTCTAAGTACCCCTAAGTAGTTGGCAAAGTTGGGCAGCATCGTGTGGGCAAGCAAACGGGTCAGCTGCAAAGCTAGCACCAAATACCAGCGCCTTGGCCTCATCCCATCATGGAACCCTCAAAGGACGCCTATCGCCCTATCAGCTCTGTACATCATACGGCTCATACGCCTGTTTTTGAACCAGCAACTGAATCTCCAGGCCCAAAAATTCCTAAACACAAGCCGTCGCCATTATTCCGAAGGAAGGTTGGAGGTATCGGAGCCGGCCTCGCCGCCGTCCGGAAGAGTGTCTGCAGCATTGATGACCATGACATTCCTATACTGAACTTAGAACCCTAGCAAAAATCAAAAACCATAATAACCACAAGTTAAAATTATTTCTAAGTGCCCCTAAGATTCAGCACTTCGTGCATCCGCTCCAGGGAGAGCTTTGACCGGGAGATGGACTTCGGTATCGTGCCCGAGCACACTCCGCAAAGGCTTAAAGCCGTGGCCACACGGTCCGTCGCCAGAGCCATGCTGCATTCGGGAATTTCGAAGTCCGACTGCAAGCTCAACACGGCTTCTTGGGTCGCCTTCGGTGCGTCGGCAAAGGCACAAAGCACGGGAATCCAGCGTCTAGTCAGCAGTGCAACCAAACGGTCTTCCCGGGTGTCCTCGGGGAGAGTCTTGCAAAAAGCATCTACGCGCTTTCTCTGCGCGGGCGAAGAGGGAGGAGTGGCCAGTAAGGGCACCTCCGCCAAGAGTGTCTCATCGACTTCGGCATCTGCTACTGCCTCCACGCAGACACCTTTCAAGTCCTGCGGCCCACGGATGCGCACCTTGGACTGGCCAACCGCGCATTGCCACAGATGGCCATCGGCTCCCGCAAGAGTCATGGCATCCATCACCGGATTGCATGCCCATGCTGCCTTGAAAAGCACGGTGCCCACCGTCAGAGCTACCAAATGTGCTGCTGAGGCTTGTTTGGAACTGTAGCTGATCTCGACTGCGGACCGTGTCACATCTTTATCCTTGCAACGGGGGTTGAAGTAGCTCGCGAACCCCATCAACTACAGTATGGGGAACGAACGGCTGCTTCGAATATCGTGTGCTTCAACACCGAACACGTTTGGGTTCAGGATCGGGAAGCTGCTGATGTTGCCTACTTTCTGGAACTCTTGAATATGGCAGGTTGTCAGAATTGCGGGCCCTTTTTGGGTCCTTATTAAACGGCACCTAAAATTTAGAGTACCCACAAAGGGACCATACTGAATTTGACAACCACCCAATAGGAAGCCGCCATTCGGAAAAGGCTGCAGGAGCTAAGACATCCCATCCCTTACCTTTGGCTAGTAGGGAATGGAAGAATGGTAGTAATAGCAGTTATAAGGGTAGTAATATGATAGTTATAGGGTAGTAGTATTATAGTAAAATGGTAGTAATATGGTAGTAATAGCAGTTATACTTGTACCCCATTCCTCCATTTCCTACTAACCAAAGGTAAGATCCCACCCGAATGACAATCGCTAAAAAACCGGCTTCACCGTTAACAGTGACTAGTTGAATGGAGGGCCGCCCAGGAAGCGCACTGGCCATGAAAACTGCTCCGTAAGGGTGTAGCAGCAGTCCTACTATAGGCGGACAGAGACCTCTTGCAGCAGCCTAACCTCTACAGCCGCCCTCCCCAAATCTACCTTCTCTTCAGCCCGCTGCACTGTCCGTATGCACTGATGCCGCCCATGCCATGACATCTTATTCGCGGATGTTTTTCTTCGGCCTGCTGCATCTTGTTCAGCCAGCCGGGCCCCTGTTTGGGGCTGCGGCTCTGCTTTGGGCTGCCTAGGGGTGAGACATCTCTGAAAGACCAACGCTCATCATGCTGTTCCCCAAGCTGTTGCCATGGGCCTTCCGCACCGCTTGGCGATGGAGCTTTGCTCGCCCGTTTGGGGAGCGAGCTCCGCGAGAACAAAGCCACGTCTCCATGCCTACATCCTCTCTGAGGATGGCATAGTCCAAAGCTCCATTGCCAGACTCATCCGTCAGCTCGAAATCCTGCGATGAAGCCCCAACGAAAACCTGAACAAGCCCTCTAAGCCTCGGCTTGCAAGCAGCTCTTGTCACTGGCCACAGCTGCGCCTCCTCCTCCGCGATCAGCCCGGATGCTTCTTCCTGCTGGATGTTGCGCATCTCATCAGCCGTCCCGTCCCTGGCCATGAGCAGCAGCTCCTGCGGCGAGAGCAAATCACGTGTGGAAGGGTTCGAAGCTCCAGCTACGGTTTATCTTCTTGCGAACCGACGGCAATGTGGCCCGAAAGATGCAATAACTGCTGCAGAAAGGATGCAGCTTCCCTAATGGCCCAACTCTGCAGGCTTGGAAAACCGCAGCGGACTACAGACTCCTGAGCTGGGGCTTGGGTTTATAGGGGTTTAGGGTTTGGGGTTAAAGGTTTAGTAGAGTTAAGTTTAGCGTTTAGGATCCGGCGGACTCAAAATCGTAGAACCAGCGCTAGCAAGAACAGGCCAAAGCAAATGAAGTGCATGAGGCAAGCTCTTAACCCTCGCCCGGTGGCTGCGCACCTGTGGAAATGCCTGCCGTAGCAAAGCGGCAACCTCCGGACATGGCACCTGCAACAAATGCCCGGTCTGTGGTGAGGGTAGTTCTCTGCAACATGAAAGTCGCCCTAACGTTGCTGCTACCCACTCTAAACATCTCTACACTCTTAGGAACACTTTGAGTATCCATAGCAGTTGCTACTGTTGATGCTGTTGCTCTTGCTGGTGGTGTTGGTGCTGCTGCTGATGCTGCTGCTGCTGCTGCTGCTGCTGCTACTGCTGTTGTTATTGTTATTGTTATTGTTATTGTTATTGTTATTGTTAGTGTTATTGTTATTGTTATTGTTATAGTTATAGTTATATTTATAGTTATTGTTATTGCTATTATTATTGCTATTGTTATTGTTGTTGTTGTTGCTGCTGTGGCTGGTGTTGTTGTTGCTGTTGTTGCTGTTGTGGCTGTGGCTGTGGCTGCTGCTGCTGCTGTTGTCGTCGTTTGCTGTCGCTGCTGTCGTTGTCGTTGTCGTTGTCGTTGTCGTTGTTGTTGTTGTTGTTGTTGTTGGTGGTGGTGGTGGTGGTGGTGGTGGTGGTGGTGGTGGTGGTGGTGGTGGTGGTGGTGGTGGTGGTGGTGGTGGTGCAGTTGTGGTGGTTGTTGTGGTTGTTGTGGTTGTTGTGGTTGTTGTGTTTGTTGTGGTTGTTGTGTTTGTTGTGGTTGCTGCTGTTGTTGTTGTTGTTGTTGTTGTTGCTGGTGTTGTTGTTGTTGGTGTTGTTGTTGTTGTTGTTGTTGTTGTTGTTGTTGTTGTTGTTGTTGTTGTTGTTGTTGTAGTTGTAGTTGTTAACAATGCTGCTGCCGTCGCTGCGCCACGGTGGTGATCGTGGTTCTGCAAGTTTCGGTTCACAGGCAAACTGCAGCACCTCGCCGGTGGCCACGCTCCAGGCAGTCTCGTACCTTGTCACTTCCATCGCATCCGGAGTGGCATCCGGCGGCAAATACCTGGAAGCTCGAGCGCAGAAGGCAGGGTGGAATAAACGCTTTCAGATTCGCACAGCTCACATGGGCATTCTTTCTTTCTTTATTTCTTCCAGGTTATTTCGGCCAGGGTGCTGCGGATACAGCCGCGCCCCTGCTTGCAGGAGTGCGGACACCATCCTTGGACAGCGCTGGCGAACGCTCTCGATGAGGAGGGTGGGCGCAGTGTTCGTAGCCTCACCAATGGCACCATCTTCCCCAGAGTTTGCCAGAGTGGGATAGATGGTCACCAGGATGTCGAGTAGCCTCTCCATGTACTCGCCTTAAGGGAAATCGATCGCAGGGGGCCTGTTCCATCCCTTATGCGAGCACTACACAAACTGAGACCAGGCGCCACTAACCTTGAGACCTCGACTTCGAGCCGTGAAACCTACTTCCGCGACTTCCGGGATCTCGTAGCCTCACTACGGATTTTCCAGGAGCCGACGAGCTCGAAACACTTCCCAAATGCTCTTCGAGTCTGGGGGCTCTCGCCACGCCGGATGGCTCCAAAGAGCTCCCACAGCGCCAGGTCCCGATGAGGCAGGTGGCCTCAGTGCGGTACATTATGCCTCCGGTTTTTGGAAGCACTTCTCTTGTGCCCTCCTGCTGCTGTTGTTGTTGCTGTTATTTACCGAATCCGTGCAGCTCAGACTGGAGTGACAAGGAGCGATGCCTCGCAGGATCCCGCAATCGTTTTGACTTGACGACTCAAGCCCAAACCTTGGCTCCCCTGAAACGGACGAAGCTGCCGCGCTGTCGGATGGCTTCTACGCAGTCGGCATGTCCGGCCTCGCATAGCTCAGCTGCGAGTACAGGCAGGGTTGCAACAAATGCCTCCCACTCTGACTTAACCTGACAAGCTTTGCCATGCATCTGTGAACACAGCTAAACCCCATGTTGGAAATAATCCTGATAGTAATAGAAAAATAAAAATAATGATAAGAGGAATAAGTTCTCTGCTACTGCCACTGCTTTGGGGGACTCAGGGTCCATAGGGCTACATTTAGGGTACGAGCCCACGACGAGAAAGTCTAAAACGTACGTAGCATCATTCCCTATAAGTCCCTAAACCCTAAACCCTAAACCCTTAGACCCTACACTCCTAATTCCTAAACCCCTAAACCCCTAGTTCCGAATCATCTTGCTGTTGATTCGGGCATATCTAACTTATACAGCTAAGCCTTCAGTGCCAGCATGGCCACATCGTCGCCATTGGGGTCCTCCGGGCTGTCAGAATGCTAGAGCCGAAGTTCTCTCTGCAACAATACAACAGAAATCGATAATTGCCTAGATTTTGCAGGGAGTATACAGCAATCTCACGAGCCATGACGACAATATCTCGGGACAGCTTGGGCGTCCTACTCAAGTTCGACTGCACTTCCGACTGTCCTGATCCCTGCAGTTTGCACCGCCATCCAGGAGCACCTCAGGGAAACTCGAGCTTCCGGGGCCCTGCGGTTTCCTATGTAGTCGAGTCTTAGGTTCAGTTCATGTTTTGGGATTTCAGGTGCGAGCGTGGGGCGGCGTGGGGGGCTCGGGGGCAGAGATAAGGGGTGTGACACCAGATGCCCTGGCGGTGTTCTCGCGAAGCTTTGTGGCATGAGATCATCGTATGGAACCATTAGCTATTACCAGTGGACCTTTACAAGCAGGGCCCACCATTCCCGAAACCTTCCAAGTTTCCTTCGGGCACCCTGGTCTTTCGGACAGTTTAGGGTTTAGGGGTTTGGGGTTTAGGGTGGTTTCACTCCTAGCAGCACCTCCAGCACTTCCAGGGAGCCCCTCAGCGCAGACACGGCCGCCACAGTCATCCCAGAGTTCCCAACCGCATGAACCTGACAGCAACTGGCTGGGAGTTTGGGGATTGCTGCTGAGACACTTGAGTAAGAGAGGGGGGTTCAGAATGCTGCCTGCGGTGATCGTGATGACTTTTGTTATTGTTGTAGCTCTACTTGTACTTCTTGTAGCACGACTTGCAGTGCGACCTGTAATACTACTACGACGACTACGTCTACCACCACGAATACCACCGCCACGACCACTACCACCACAGCTACTACTATCGCGACGAGAGTGGCTAAGGCCGGGTGGACGCCTGACGATTTACGAGTTTAGGGTTTAGGCTGCAGGGTTTATTCTACGGATAGGGTGGTTCAGGGCTATTCTGGGATTTCGGCACATCGATCGAACGTAGGCCGCAGGCACACAGTTTGCTAGAAAGGCGCTTCGGGCCACTTCGAAGGCCAACCCGACGTTCGTTGTCTTCGAGTTCAACCATAATACAGCTTTTCTGACTCAGACCTTACCAGCACCCCCCAACTACCCTCTATTACACCCTGA